AATGGGGTTTGTTAGCAAACAGAAAATAACACCAGCAATGACAAACAGATGAGAATGCTGCGTGGTGTCTGGGTGCCGTGATGGCGGGACGTTGCAGGGCTCGCTGCTCTGCCCTTTGGAGCTCGAGGAGCGGACAGTGTGAGCTGTATTACTGCTGTCGTTTCCTGGTGGCTGCGTGGGGTCTGCGAGACACCAAGGAACTCAGCCTGAGCACACACATACACTCACAGCCTGGCTGTGTGCGGAGATCCGCGGAGCCGCGGCTGAGAAAAGATAAGGCTGAGTGAGTGTGTGTGCCGGCGAAGCTCCGCGGATTGGTCCATTTGGAACTGGGTATCGTTACGTCACTATACTCAGGAAGAACAAAATGGAAAAAGAAAAATCTCCAACGAGGCGTTCTGGGGCAGCATAGACAGGTATTTTCTGTGTTAGAGTTTTACTCCCTACAGGGTGTACTTTGAGGGTTTGTGACTCTGCAGACCGTTTACATGCAGAAAAAGCTACATAACAACAAGGGGACGGGTGATAACCAGAAAAGCATGACATGGGACCTTTAACTTAAAAAAAACAGGATGAGGTAGTATAAAGGAAAACAAACTAAATAGGCAATTTGACCCTGGTCTAAGACTCAATAAAACTAGCTCTAAAAAACGAACAGTACTCCAGGCCTAGACATAAAAAATCACACTCAAAGACCTCCCCGAGACTCTTTGAATGTCTATGGCTTTAGAAGAGATTTAAGCTCCTCCATGTTGTTGATATATCTCACGCCGTGCGCCTCTCTGTCCCGAATTATCTTTAAATCAGTAATCCATTTTGTTTCCAGGTGTACTATCTGCGTGGGATAGGAAAGCTCCTGCAGCTGCTGAACCACGACCACGAGGAGGTGCAGCGCCTCGCCGCAGGAGCGCTGCGAAACGTCGTCTACCAGAGCAGCGAGAACAAGATGGAGGTGAAGGAGAGCAACGGGCTGAACTCCGTCCTGCAGACGCTGAAGAGCAGCCGGGATCTGGAGACCAGGCAGCAGCTGACCGGTCAGTGGTTGATATGGGATTGCTGCTCACACCTGCACTTACTTTCTTTACTGTTAGTGGCTTCTTTTGCTTCTTCACATCCCACCCATTGTTGGCCACTGCTATAAAAAGATCATTGGAAACAGCACAGTTATTGCTGCACTGGTGAGAAATGTATTTTGTGTAGCATCAACAGTTACAATGCCATACAAATGGAGTAAGTGGTGCCAATATTGGAAAAAGATTGCTCAACATATTATACATGTTAACCCAATTTACATTTGAAAAACTCTCCTGTTGTGTCCTCTCTTCTGAGTAACGGCCCGTCCACACAGCGGCGTGCGTTGAAAGCGGTGATGTCACTTTTCGCCGAACTGCATTGTGGGAAGCGAAGGGGAGCTTTGCTGGCAAAAGTTGAGCAATGTTCAACTTTTGAAGCCTCTGCAGAAGCGTCAGCCAATCAAATCATATGCCAGTACAAGCTCTAGCCAATCAAACCGCGTGCTTGTGTGTCAGGGGCGGGAGATTCATGTGATTGGTTGTTGGTCGAGTTTCAGACAAGGTTCAACGCACGCCGCCGTGTGGACGGGCCGTAAAGTGTTACTGAACTTCTGTCAAGTGAGTCTCAGCCGAGTCATTAAGGACTTACCATTTGTGCTGAGTAATGTGTGTTACATAGTGATGTCATTGTGTTACAGAGGTAAATAAAGGAGTCCAATGGAGGCGTTTCAGGCAGGGGGGGTGGGGGTGTGTGGGAGATAAACTAGCCTTCACAGACCATTGACATGCACACAAATCCATATAACACACTGCAGGAAAGGGGAAACACATAATAGTGCCCCTTTAAACTTATTATTATGTTTCAACAAATGTCTTTGCCTATAATAAAGTGTATTGCCATCTCCCTCCCAGGGCTCTTGTGGAACCTCTCCTCTCACGACCTCCTGAAGGAGCGTCTCTCCAGAGGAGGGTCCCTCTCCGTCCTCACTCACTCCGTTCTGGTTCCAAGCTCCGGCATTTTTGAAGGAGAAAACCCAAAAGATGAGCTGCTGGCCGACGCCGACGCTTTCCACAACACCACCGGCTGCCTGCGGTGAGTTCCTTTTTTGTTATCCTGAAACAAGATACTCCGGCAGCTTCTGCAGAGAGGATGAATAGATTTGAGTAAACAGACACCTCCTCTGGTGTCAGATATGCAGCTCAGACCACGCTGAATATAGCATTTCCACAAAAGGATTCACAACTTTGATCATTGTAAATGTATATTGTATGTTGACACACATTTAGTTAAAAGAAAAACAAATATGTATTTAAATAATTTAGTTTTTGGGAGAAGGGGTGGGATTAAATAAGTGTAGACTTCTTCCCACCCCTTTTCAGGTAAGTGTTTATATATCACGACATTAAATATTAGTCAATTTATGGAACATGTCGGAAACAAAACATACAACAATTATAATAATGTTTTAAAAAAAATGTATGATAATAATTATAACAAAGAAAGGCAAAACAAAAACGTTCAAGGTACAAAAAAACAAATCAATTCTCAAATAGTCTCCGTCATGTTCAACAGGGGCAAGAAGAAGCTTAAAAACATTCTGGTC